TCTCTATACAATTTTTACCTTCTAGACCCTGTGTTACAAGGGGAAGTTTACCTCCGTTATGTTCACATAGTTGATCACTGTCCTTAAGACACATACGCTTTTGGGTGTCGTAAAGCTGTGAAAAAAAAAGAGTTTTTCATTAGATAAAATTCTCAAAAATTTGTTAAAATTACTTAAGCCCCTTACCAATCCATGTTCACATTTGCCTTTATTCATGCCTGAGCCATTACATCTATGCCAAACAGCACAGTCTTGAAAATCACCAAAGAATTGATCCTTTTGCATAATTTGACATAAATCGTTAATCTCTCCAGAGGTTTCCATATTATAGGGACATTTGCCATTGACACACGATTTAATAGTGTCATCAAAATATTGTCCTAATGCGCAAGAACCGCTGCCTATTAGCTTACCACTTGAACAATAATGCCAAAGGCTACAATCTTTAGTATCGCCTACCCATGTGTCATCTTGATTTTCACAAGGATTTTCTATGTTAACATGGCAATTGTTATTAGTTCTAGGCACACACATTTGCAAATCTTTATCAAATACATCGTCACCGGCACATTTAGATTCCGCTACTTGTTTTTGTCCCAGACAAGTATAGAAAGTTTGACATGATTCCAAACTAGGCAATTTAGTGCCCACTGGTACTAGTTGACAATATTTAGACACCTCATATTCAGCATTGATTTTTGTTATGGGCACAAATGCCCATAGTATTGGAACTAACATAAAATGTAAATTTTTAACTGCCAGGAGTTACAACGTTAGAAATCATTTATGTTTCCTAGAATTTGTTTCTTTCACTTACCCATGCTATTTGCTGTTCTAGGCTTTGACTACTATTCATATAACACTCTTTTCTTTGGACTCATATACTAAGTAAATTGCTATTTTAAATTCAAAAATATAAATAATTTAAGTAATAATAATTTATACTGTTTTCTGTTCAAAAAATTACTTACTCATGCATTTGATAGTTTTATAACCTCCTTTAAGCGCATAAATAATTTATTTTGAAAATATGTCATCGATAAAAAATACATAAATAAAATTTGGTGAAGATAACAGAACTAGAACAGAACTAGAACCGAACTAGAACAGAACTAGAAAAGAACTAGAACAGAACTAGAACTGAACTAGAACCGAACTAGAAAAGAACTAGAAAAGAACTAGAACAGAACTAGAACAGAACTAGAACAGAACTAGAACAGAACTAGAACAGAACTAGAATAGAACTAGAACAGAACTAGAACAGAACTAGAACAGAACTAGAACAGAACTAGAACAGAACTAGAACAGAACTAGAACAGAACTAGAACAGAACTAGAACAGAACTAGAACAGAACTAGAACAGAACTAGAACAGAACTAGAACAGAACTAGAACAGAACTAGAAAAGAACTAGAACAGAACTAGAACAGAACCAGAACAGAACTAGAACAGAACTAGAACAGAACTAGAACAGAACTAGAACTTAACTAGAACTGAACTAGAACTGAACTAGAACTGAACTAGAACTGAACTAGAACAGAACTAGAACAGAACTAGAACAGAACTAGTACAGAACTAGAACAGAACTAGAACAGAACTAGAACAGAACTAGAACAGAACTAGAACAGAACAGAACAGAACTAGAACAGAACTAGAACAGAACTAGAACAGAACTAGAACAGAACTAGAACAGAACTAGAACAGAACTAGAACAGAACTAGAACAGAACTAGAACAGAACTAGAACAGAACTAGAACAGAACTAGAACAGAACCAGAACAGAACTAGAACAGAGCTAGAACAGAAGTAGAACAGAACACAGAACTAGAACAGAACTAGAACAGAACAGAACTAGAACTAGAACTAGAACTAGAACTAGAACTAGAACTAGAACTAGAACAGAACAGAACAGAACAGAACAGAACAGAACAGAACAGAACTAGAACAGAACTAGAACAGAACTAGAACAGAACTAGAACAGAACTAGAACAGAACTAGAACAGAACTAGAACAGAACTAGAACAGAACTAGAACAGAACCAGAACAGAACTAGAACAGAACTTGAACAGAACTTGAACAGAACTAGAACAGAACTAGAACAGAACTAGAACAGAACTAGAACAGAACTAGAACAGAACTAGAACAGAACTAGAACAGAACTAGAACAGAACTAGAACAGAACTAGAACAGAACTAGAACAGAACTAGAACAGAACTAGAACAGAACTAGAACAGAACTAGAACAGAACTAGAACAGAACTAGAACAGAACTAGAACAGAACTAGAACAGAACTAGAACAGAACTAGATCAGAACTAGAACAGAACTAGAACAGAACTAGAACAGAACTAGAACAGAACTAGAACAGAACTAGAACAGAACTAGAACAGAACAGAACTAGAACAGAACTAGAACAGAACTAGAACAGAACTAGAACAGAACTAGAACAGAACTAGAACAGAACTAGAACAGAACTAGAATAGAACTGGAATAGAACTAGAATAGAACTAGAACAGAACTAGAACAGAACTAGAACAGAACTAGAAAAGAACTAGAAAAGAACTAGAACAGAACTTGAACAGAACTAGAACAGAACTAGAACAGAACTAGAATAGAACTATAAAAGAACTAGAATAGAACTAGAACAGAACTTGAACAGAACTTGAACAGAACTAGAACAGAACTAGAACAGAAATAGAACAGAACTTGAAAAGAACGAGAACGGAACTAGAACAAAACTAGAGTAGAACTATAATAGAACTATTACAGAACTAGAATATAACTATAACAGAACTATAACAGAACAAGATCTGAATTTTTAGTAAATTTTGAATAATATCCTTAAAAAAGTTCTTTAAAATTTTCTGACCGCGTGATGATAAATTTGAAATTTGAATCCCAGACACAAACTTTTAAAATTAGTAAAGTCACTTTAAACAGTCATTTTAAGTTAACAGAATTGATGTTAAAGCTTTAAAAAATCCGTAAACTTAGGAAATTTTAAATTGAAATAATTGTGATATGTTAAATACTTAACAGAACTTCTGTTAAAACCAGAACAAAATGATCAACATTAAATAAATGATTTAAGTTCTTTTTCCACTTAAAATTGATAGTGGGTTGAGAAAAAATATTGGATATCTTCTTGGACGGATTCGAGGAAAAACCTAATGGTTAAACGTGTCAACAGTAGGCCTTTTAAGTGACTTTTGTATTTTTTTTTCAATTCACTAAAAAGGATTTAAGTCCCTTTTCCACTTAAAATTAAGATAATATTGGTAATCACTCCTAGCCGAATTTGAAAGGCCCACTGTTAACACTTTTTAAAATAAGGTATTCCTTTGAGTCCGGCTAGGAATGATATACAATTTTTTCCGCCCGCTCCCAATTTGTAGTTTAAAAAGGACTTAAATACTATTTTTGAGAAAATTAAAAAAAAATAACAAAAAGGACATACAAGTCTCAATGTTAACACTTTTGACCATTAACTGTTCTTTCGCATCCTTTCAAAAAGGACTGTTTAGTAAATTTTTTTTTTTAAATAACAAAAATTATTAAAAGGCCCACTGTTAACACTTTTATCATTAAGTTTTCCTTCGGATCCGGCTAGAAATGATATCCAATATTTTTTTTTCCCACTAACTAGCAATTATTAGTGGTAATAGTACAGGGAATACTATTTTTTTAAACTTTTTAACCAAAGTACTGTTAAGTTTTAACATAACTCTGTTAATATAATTTATGTGAAAATAACATTAACATAATATTATTTACATTTAATGCCAGTTCTGTAAATTACAGAACAGAATTCTGTTAGGTTAACATAAAAGTTTTATGTCTAGGATTAACAGAGCTCTGTTAACCTAACATAATCCTAGATTTTTATCTAGGATTTTAATTTCAATTTTATCTTCACGCCTATATATATATAGTAGTAAGAACTTTAGCTGATGTAGCATTCAGTGATTCAGTTTGAAGTGATGAAAAGTGATTTAAAAACTTTTGGATTAAAAATAATTAAATTTTTAAAATAACATTTTATTTATTTATTTTAGAATTTTGTCCAATCTCTTATAGATTGATTAATATTGAAATATTTTATAGGTTGAAGACGAAATTGTATTTTTTGTTTTTTTTTTTTGGTTTTTGAAAAAGTATTGTTTATTGAAACTTATTATATTAAGCTGGTGCCTGTAGCGTGCAAACACGATTTTCATCACATTTATAATTTTTCACAAGCTCCATTTTTTCATTACCCTGAATGCAATATTGAACTGCTTCATCGAAGTAATATCCATTAGAACAATTACCATCACCATTACTTAGTTTTTGCCCATTTTCTGCAAGTACTGAATTTTGAACAATCAGAACTGTCGGCATTTACCCAATATGTAGTACTGCCGGTAGTAAATTCACAACGATTACAACCGGGTAGGCACGAGCTTTCGAACGACTTAAGCACTTCGTTGCTTAAAACATCAAAATATTCACCATAACCGCAATTATCTTCTATCCAATTATAAGTTGGTGATGTCGGGGGATCCGAGGTAGTCGTTTCTTCTGTGCATACATAATAAACCGAACACTTTAGTTGATCGCCCACTTTATTATTTTTTATTTTGTGTACATAATGATGGATTAGGTGCACCACTGACTGCACTTATACCACCGGTTCTATCACACATTGTGCCATCATTTTTCAAACACATGCCTTTTTTCGTATCGTAAACCTGCCAGAAAAAATATTTACCATAAAGTTTAAATGTTTTTTTTAGAAGTCTAAGTTTTAATCATAATTATTAGCTGGATTTCTGTATACTTACCAAGTTGTCTAGACATTTGCCATTTTGCGGCTTTCCATTATTACACCCTGTGCCAAGCGTTGCAGTTTTCGAAATCACCAAAGAATTGATCATTTTGCATAATATCACATAGGTTTAGAACAGGTGTAAAAACCACTATTGCTATTGCCATCTGGACAATCGCCATTAATGCAAGTACTGTTAGAGGCGTAAAATATTTGTCCTAGTTGACAGGTACCATTTGCCTGCTATTTTGCCATTTAAACAATAGTGCCATTCATTTGCAAGCTTTAGTACTGGGAGCAAATGTGTCATCCTTATTTTCGCATGGATTATCCAAACTTAAAAAGCAGTTACCCTGTGTCCTCTGGTACACAGCCTTGTGTATCTTTATCGAAGACAGTATTAGCGTCGCATTTGCCTGGTATTGGCTGGTTATTAAGGCCACATATGTAATAATCTTGACAGGATTCCATGCTGGGCATTTTCGTACCGGTCTTCAACAAGTTGACAATATTTGGCCACATCGTATTCAGCATAGACAGTTGCTATTAGCATAATGGCAACACTTGCCAATAAAGTTTTAGCTGTAATTACAAAAAAAACAAAAATAATAACAAAATACACACACATTTTCAGAAAAACAAATTCCATTTAAAAGCTATTTTGTATTTTTTTTAACACTCACTTATCATTTTTAAGAATTATTTAAATTTTTTCTTAACTAATGTTTCCGTTTGATTTTGAAAGTTACTTTTAACACTAACTCTATTTGCTAAAGGTTGTTGTCTTTTTATAGGCAATATTTCAACTGATTGATACAAATGTACATAAATACAGCAAAATATATATCTATATATTTTTTGGACAAAAATTTTAATTAATAATAACAAATAACTTATATATTATAGATAAGATGAAAAAATGGTCTACTATAATTCCAAAAAAGCCTAATAATTTAGACACCAGATAGCCAGCAGAGAACTACATATATAATATATATATATATAATATATATATATA